TAAAAGCTGCAAAGCAGCCAGATCTACAAGGAAGGGTTTGTGGTCAAATACTGCAGTGTTATCTAATCCAGATTACTGATCTACTTCACTGAGGAGTTGGGACAGGACATCCAAACTCTACCTCTGAGTTTTCCTTGGGCGCTCATGAAATTTCACCTGGTAAAGAGGCAAGGATTCCATTAGGGCCAGGCATTCTTTCCACAAGCACCTGGATCTGATGTGTGGCTTATCTAAGGATATAATCTTACAAATGTTTGGAGTTTGACCTTTAGGGTCAAGTGAGGAAGTCAATTGATCAACATGAGATACCAAGTGTCCAGTTTTATTTTATTTTTTTAAATTTATTTATTTATTGAGAGAGACACAGTGTGCGTGCACACACACACACACACACACACACACACACACACACACGGTGGGGGGAGCAAGGGAGAGACTTTTATGCAGGCTCCACACTCAGAGCAGAGCCTGATGCAGGGCTGGATCTCACAAACCATGATATATGCATGACCTGAGCTGAAATCAAGAGTTGGATACTTAACCAACTGAGCCACCCAGGCACCCCAAAAGTGCCCAGTTTTATACACAGCTCTACTCTGGCAGTGATAAGAGAATAATAGAAAATATTAAGGCCAGGGTAAAGCAATTATTCATCCAGATACATGATCAATCAATAAATATTTCTTGAGCATCTATTGTGTGCAAGACACTGTATCTTTGCTAAAAGCCATTTTAGCAGGAGTCAGGGGCCCTTCCAATAATGGGTTAATGACTGAGTTAAAAGGCTAAGACATATTTACATGAACAGATAACAACAAGGTAATCTATAACCAGTGTCAAATGAGTCATATGAATATGACCACCAAGGGGTTTCACAGGTACAAATGAGCAATTCTAACTGATGATCCAGAAAGCCTACTGGAGACGGTTGGATTTGTAGCAGGTACTTTTAGTTGGACAGGATTTTGACAAGTTAAAGGAGATAGAGCACACTAGACAAAAAAAAAATGGCATGAGCAAGGTACTAAGTAGGTGGGTGCAATGCTGGTCTTGTAGCAGATTACCTTGGCTGAACTAGAAGACTTGTTTTATAGAGTAGCAGGGAAAGAAAAGCTGAAGAGACCATGGGATTTCAGAGTTTAGAGGGATTCTAGAAATGATCAAATCTGCTCACCTTACTCTCACACAAACACAGATTTCCTTAGTGTGCCACCAATGTTTAACATATATTTTAGTAATGGGTCCAGATTCCTAATATCTACAGGCATAACTGTGGCATAAGAGTTGGAGAGAGGCTTTGGAGTTAGAGGCCTGCCTAAACCACTTGCTAGGTGTTCATCCTTAGGTTAGTTTAGCAAACCTTTATTTCTTCACCTATAAATGTGGATGATAGTATGCTCACCGAAAGTGGAGGTAGGGATAGAAAGGAGAAAGAATGCTTGAAGGAGACAGAAAAGGATGAGGAATCTGTAAAGTGCATTGCCAAGGAAAGCAGAAGTAGAGAGAATTCAAGGTAGGGAAGGTTGTTAACAGCATCGAATGAACAAAACAGGTCAAAGTGGTTGAGACCAGCCAAAAGGCCAGGAACTTTGACAATTTGGAGGTCACTTGTGACCTTTAAGAAATCAATTTTAGTATAAAAGGAGAGAGGCAAATTGTAGAAAAGGATGAAATAAGAGGGATGGGAAAGGAAGAAAACCAGAATGTGTAGTGAGGAACTAGAACTGCAGTCAAAGACCCCTCCTCATTTGCAGTGACAGGAGAGTGAGAAAGATGGCTTTGATTCAAAGGGGTCACATGGTTCAGTGATATAATATCTGGATGTGTAGCTCAGCTTAGGACTGAAATGACTGGTAGTTCTGTTAAGGACTTCCAACCCTAGCCTTCCTCCTTGCTGAGATGCAGGGAACAGTGACAAAGGACGAAAATACAATTACAAAGCAATCTACCCATTTATAATGCTGTAAGGTTGCCAGCTGAGCAATTATAAGAGCTTCCCCATATAGTAAAACCTCATTAATTTGGACTTCACATTTTTGGAATTTGTGGCAATTTAACCTGGGCTGGAGTCACAAAGAAAGGGTACTACTTACAAAGAAAGGGTTCACTAAGCAAACAGTGTGAAAAAGATTGCAAGAGAGCTAATTTAGCCTGCCAGGGCCTATTTCACCTATTTAAAGAAAATAGTCTTTTTTTTTTAAGAACCTCAGCATATTCATTATTTGAATGCAAATTGATTCTGCTAATTGTAGATTAGTATAATCTATTGTTAAAATCCTATATCTGCAACGGTTACTTTGCTCTCACTGAATATGCTCATTAGAAATAAAACTGCAATTCTTTAAAGTTACTTCACAATTCCAATGAATTCATACCCCTTTCCCCACTCTCATGAATTAACTACAGTTCAGGAGGTATTACTCTAAACTAGCACATCACTTATTAAGAACACAGTGGAAAAACTAATAAGTGATCAAAAAAGGCCTCAGAGCAGCCAAAATAGATTTCCTAAAGTTGATGCCCTAAATCCTTTAACTCTTTCCATACCAGGTTCTCTTATAGCTGATTTAACATACGGATCTGACATACCAACTTGGAAATGGCTGGCTTTTTTTTTTAATGTTTTATTATTTTTTAAATGTATTTTTGATAGACTGCAAGCAGGGGAGGGCCAGAGAGAGGGAGAGGACAGAGGATCTGAAGCGGGCTCTGCGCTGACAGCAGCGAGCCCCACGTGGGGCTTGAACTTACAAACTGTGAGATCATAACCTGAGCAGGAGTTGTATACTCAACCAACTGAGCTACCCAGGTGCCCCTGGGTTTTTTGTTTTTTAGTGTTTGTAACTGATTAGAAGGAGAAAAAGGGCTGCTGCATGAAGGGACACTGAGAGAAACCAGAAGTGACTGCAGACTGCAGAAAGGAGACAGGACATGTATAAAATATGGCTGTAATAACTAAAAAGCTACCAGACTGTAGGACATTTTACTGTAGAGATAAAAGGCCTATATTCCTTAGTAAACCCTGAAAACTATAATAGAGTGTTATAGTGCAGTACAATAACTAATATCTGGAATTATGCCTCTAAATGATCAGAGTTGAATACATTCCTTAAAAAGGCAGATACATTTACACACACACACACACACACACACACACACACACACACACACACGCAATTTGTATCCATAATGGTTAACCTAAAAATGTGAAATGTGTTGATACTCAAACAGGTAAAGTTCATAATATTATCATATAATAATAATGATAACAAAATAGCAACATTTATTAAGTGATTACTGTGTGCAAACATCATGCTAAGCACTTTACTTTATATAATTGTGTTTAAATCCTAATAGGTGGGTTTTAGTACCATTTCTACTTTACAATTGAAGTGAAACTCAGAGAGGTTAAGGAACCACCCCCCCCCCCCCCCC